AGAGACAGAGACAGACAGAGACAGACAGAGACAGACAGAGACAGAGAGAAACTCTTGTTGTGGGTCTATATCTCTACATGCTGTGACTCCATATGTTGTGATTCTACATGCTATGACAAACACCAAACATTTAGGTGATTACAAATGAATGTGTGATTGAAGTGGATGCTAAATATGATGTTTGGAAAATGAAATTGATTCCTGGTATAGGGGTGTGTTTGGAAATCAGTCATTCAGTCATTTCTGGAAAATTGGCCAAAATAGGGAAATTTAAAGTACTTTACAAGTAAAATAAAAAGTTTAAGAGAACTTATAAAGAAGAATTTAAAGAATTGTATTTGAAAAGGGATGATTGATTATTCACTTGTAAAAAGGGGCTTAATTTTGCTAAATAATTGACCACTATATTCTTTACCATCATATAATTGACCTATAAAATATATACTTAAAGATTGTTTCACTTTCTGGAGAATGTAGTAATAGATTTCATGGAGGAAAATAGGTGATTAAATTATTTTCCTAGGTGGAGGAGCCAAGGACAAATTATAATAAGCTCAGTTCTGTTTTATAATAATCTGCTCAGAAGCAACACTTAAAGTGATCCATTGTTCTGAGATCTATCACAATCAGAGAGTGTATAAAGGTCAGTCCAAGTATTCAGACAAACATGCAGCGCTGAACAATTATATTCAAAACAACCTTGAAACATCAGCTCTATAAAAGTTACCTCCGAGAGTGCTTGCATATCTCTAGGACTTAGAAGTAAAAAATAATTTTGAAACTTCTGAAGGAGAGTTCTGTCACTTACACTGGTGGCACCAAAGTGGCACCAATGTGGGAACATGATGTAGATCTATAAGGCTGAACCAAACTAGAGTAGTAATATATCATTTTCTAGGGCCAGCCAAATAGTGCAGTGGATTAAAGCATCTGCTTAAGCAGATGCAGAGGCCAGGAGTTCAATCCCGGGCCTGCCATGGAGGCCCTAACCCTGGGGCTCACTGAGACAATGATTGAGATTTGACGTGGTGGCGCGCACCTGTAACCCCAGCACGTGGGAGGCTGCAAACAGGAGAATCACTCTGAGTCCAATCTATGCAGTAAGACCCTGTACACCCTGTTCTAAATACAATAAATAAATAAAATTTAAAAAATTAAAAAATAATAATTTTCTGTTTCCAGTTTGGTGGTGAGAAGATACACTTAATTCAAAATAGAGATTATTTCATGATGGCATTTAAAGAAAAGTAAAGATGTAAGCTTGTATTAATTTGTCATTGGGGTACACTTATTAATTCTATTGGATGATAAAAGACCCAGAAACTCTGAGAGCAAAGATCACCTGATTTGTAAATAGATAATTTGCTCTTTTCTACCATCGGATTGCCACTGGGGTCAGTCTGCTTTTATTCGGTTGACAAAGGTTCTTGTAATTTTATAATTTTATTATGAATTTTACCTGTTTAATTATATTTCATTCCAGAGATCATTAAAAGATTGTGCTTTACTCCTGCTCAGGCAAGTTTAGACAAGTGCAGGGACTGTGGTTCAATCCCTGTAATTCCAGCATTGGGGAGGCTGAAAGCAGGAGGATCACCATGAGTTCAGGCTGCATAGTGAGACTCTGCAACAACCAAATATATTTTAAAAAAAGAAGAAGATTTTGCTTTATGTTTATGATAGGCTAGATGAAGTTCTGGCTCCTAACTGTCTGAAATCATGAACAAGTTTCTCTTTTTCTTAACAAAGCCAACCAAATTAAACTTTAACATGTTAGAAGTTCACTTAATATGCAGTGAGATCTTTTCTCTCTTGGTGGAACACCAGCATGGAAAACCTGGATGAAGTATTAGCTTGCTAACAGTTATCTTCCCCCAGTACCTCTGTGGGTGTTGGTTCCAGGCTTCCCATGGAATTGCTTTCTGCTACCCAAATCCTTGGACACTTGGGCTCTATAGAGCATGGAATATATTTGCATTCCTCCTGTACACATCTTCCTGTACCCCTGAAGACATCTCCAGATCATTTCCAATACCTAGTAGAAAATAAATGCTGTGTCAGTGTTTGTTACATTGTATTGTTTAGGAAGGAATGATAAGAAAAGTAGTCCATACATGGTTAGCACAGGTAATTCTCTTCCTGCACTATCTGGATTCATGGCTGGTGGATTTCACTGATACAGAACCCAAGGATACAGAGGACTGACTATATAGAAGACCTTACTCATTATTTTTATGAGTAGTGGACTCCAAAATAGATTAGTTTCAGGAACATTGGTTCCTTTCTGCTGGGCAAGTTATTCTCTTACCTCCCAATGTTTCATTCACAGGATTTTTTCCTGTCCTTGCTCATTAAGCCTTGTCATAAAATAGGAGAAGTATTGCAAACCTTTTATCTGAGGTATTATTCACACTAAAATTTCCCCAGAGAAGAAATACTTTTAATTATTATCAGTTATATTTTTTTACTTGAGAGTGAGTTAATTTTCAGTTCTTTTGTTTCTGAGAAATTTTTGATAGCAGGTGGAAAGCTAAAGAAGGCTGGGAGGGCGGACTGAGTCAAAAAGAAAAAAAATAAGGCTCAGAGAGAGGAAGAGATTAATTCTATTCCATATAACCCTACAGTCAGTTTTTGAGGGTTTACTTTGTCATATGCAATGCCAGTGCTTATTTGGTAGAAAACATTAAATCTATAAACAGCTCAATTAGGGCTAA